TCACAATAGTTACTGGATAAAAAAAACATTCAAATAGATGTATTCTGGCTTACCGATTAGTTTGTATAATCTATTGGATTATCTCTTTATCTCTAAATCAATTAATGATACATAAGGCATGACAGCCACTCACCGCAATGACCTCAAATCACCACAAAACCTCATCATCAATATTAAGACATCAATCACTTAAGAAATTTTCTCATCGATAAAAGATACACACATCGACGCTTCCGTTAACCATCGTTTTCGTGAAATCAGATAATGTGGTCAAGTATGGCCAACGACCAATCAAATTAGAGCCCATATCTGTCTTAAGATTGATGGCTAATTACGACTGCCATAACAGTTAAGAAATTCATGCACATCAAGCTACCCAAACCAGCATAAAATGATCTTTAATTGTAAGAAGGATCGTACAAAAAGGAGACCATGATAAATTGGTTAGGTATAGCTTGATGATCAGCTGGGTTAACAATGTCTTCATAAGAGTCTTGGTATAAAAAAACCAAGTCATTAATCTGCCCCTTGTCATTTTTAACTCGCGTATAATTTCTTTAAGAGAAAACTTAATATCGGCTCCGGGATATCATCACGACGTATATGGGATGCCATTAAGAGTATCGGCAGCGATAAAAATCAAGGAAGGCTCTGGGTGGTGTTTAAGTTGTAAAAACAAATACGGGGTCAGATGGGGATTGTATGTTTTACAGTAATTTATAACTTCATTTTTATGGCGAATGATAATTGTTCCCTTTCCATGTTGTAGGTGGTCGTTGTCATTTTTCTTTTTACCGTTCTTTGTTGAATCTGTATACATACATACATATAGCTGGTGTATATTTGTTTTTTTATTCAATCTTTGAAAATAATCAAACAAGAATGATTTACTTACATCATCACTTTTAACATTTATTTCTTTAAAGTATATTTATTTATTTATTTAAACTTTATGCAACAAAACATTACATAGGCGTACTTAATGACGTAGGCATTCTCACCAGTCAACCTTAGGGTGATGCAGAGAGAGTATGGTAGGTGCAACAAGAAGAGAACTTTGAGACGATAAATTAAGATTTAAAAATACAACAAGAACACTAAAATAAATAAATATTTATATATATATAGAATAATATAATTATACTGGTATATGGTGGTATGGTTAATAAAATAAATACTCAATACATACTTACATAAATAGTATAGCAGGTTATTAATTATTCATAATTAATCAAACCCATATCTGAACATAACTGCGTCAAAATGCAATATTAATAAATAATCCGACTAACACACCAGCTGTTTCTAATTAAACACTAATTTGCTACCATCACATTAAAACTGACGGATTTACATTAAAAAATCATAAACGCTGACTCATTCCATATATTACCTGTGACCAAAACAAAAGTCTATAAAAGACAACCGCATATAAAGCTACACTAAACCGTCTCTCTCCAATCGATAATAAACTTTATTTTTATTAAGAAGAAGGTTTGTTTGAAACAAATTGGGTGGTTGGAGTGTACCTTGTTGTGCTGGCATTTGTACGATTTAAAGTGTTGGCGTGATTACAGGGCCCATTAGACCGGTTCCCAAGTGAGTACACTAATAAAATATTTAAAAAAAGGTTCGATATGCAGTAGCTAACTAGACGGCTGTGTCATTCTGTTGTATGGTCGTTGAGTAAAGTGTTAAGAAAGAAAAAAATAAACATAATAAGCTGCTATTTTATTTATAATTTTAAACCTGTATAATAAAGGGCATGCTCAATAGATACACTTCTAAATTCGAAATTCAAAAATACCTAATTATTTATAAATAGTGAATCTATTAATATAAAACATTGTTCTTTTTTAAGAGGAATATCATGCAATGACATCTTCCGCTCAGGGTGGGGTGAGAGAGATTGTCAGAGTTATACTAGCTCAAAACTTGAGGTTTCCTTTTTCTGCCTTCAGGACCTTGGCCAATCATTGCGCTTGTGCATTACATGACATGTTGGGGATTCAAAATTTCTAATAAAAATCAGTGTTTAATGAAGAAGACTTAACTTATAACAACGATATGAGTGCTGTATATGATTAGAATCTCAATTTATTTCAAAATGAATTTGAACTAATTTCTTCCGAGAAAGACCTCCATCAGAGTCGAGTAAGAACTTAATTTTTCCAACGTTATAATGATTATTATTTAATTGCAGGTTTCACTGACGTAACATTAACTCTCAAAACCCGTATAATCTTAAATCAATTAGGTTAATCGTTCAAAATTTCGGCTTAATCTTTCGTCTGTCAGGGATTTTGTAATATAAATAATAGCACGCTTTTTATACCCCGAAGAAAAAGCCAGGGGCGCGGATTAAATGCAGTAACAGCACTTCTTTAGAAGTTCTAATAAAATAGGAGTAAGACTCCAGAAAACAGACATACATACAATAATAAGTTTATTAAAAATAAAGACTTACTCTTGTGAATTAACTACGAAAAGCTCGACTAGTATCAAGTCACGACGGGACTCTTATTAATGAGCAGAGGTCACGTCGCGGAGACGTCACGCAGCCAAATCTTGTACAGCTTTTGTCAGTTAATTCTAATATGCAAGTCGTTATTTTATCCCCTTTTAATAAAATAAAGAATAAAAATAAAAAAAAGTCGTTATTTTATCAATTATTTTTTATGTACCACGTTGGATTAACAAACATACAGATCCAATCAAGAACCTCCTTTGTTTTAAGCTGGTTAAAGCGTTTCTTTTTCTAAAATCACATTGTGAGTGGTTGTACTACTGCAATCAGTTTAAAAGCCTAACCCCACCGTGATTAGGCGGCGCCGGGGGGTGCGGTGTAGGCGCGGCGAGACGGAGGGGGGGGGGGGGTCATTAACTCATTAACGATGACCGTCATTACACGGCTAGTGACAGTAATGACGATATTGTGCTAATGTCCTAATATTTTATGCTGCATGGTCACTCTAGCGTTAATTTAGAGAAATTAATTATAAAATTATCTAGTTGATTTTTATGCTTATTTTTTTTTGAGTTTGGTTCTCGAATTAAAAAAAAATACCTTTGATTCTTAACCATTTTTCATGTCTTATTAACGAGGTTATGTTACATTCTTACTTTACCAGTATTTTTAAATCTGCGATACATTGTGATTAGAACTAAAAAAAATTACAACAACGCAACACATTTTGATGCGTTTTTTTACATACCTATAGAGTGACTGACGGGACAGTTTTATATGTATAATAACATCCATTAAAATAAATAGTGAAGCAAACTAGTATGAACACTGCACCCGTACGAAGACGGGGTGGAGGGGAGGGGGGATGACTAGATGCTTAATATAAACACAACCACATTTTTCACACATCGTCACCAACTTTCGATCACAGCCTAAATAAACAATAAAAAACACGCAACAGACAAGAAAAGAGGTCGCAGTAACAAATCATTTCTTAATTTCTCCTCGTTTTAATTGAAAATGATGATAGTCTTTCATTTTAATATTAATTACTCGTGTCAGTAACTCAAAATTAATTACTTTTGGATTCAACTCTGGATGATTTAGGGCCTTGCCCGTCTAGTTGTGGCTAGCGTGCACTGCTGAATAAAAACCCTGTGAGTTGAAGAAAGTAAATAAGGCATATTTCCCACATACAAGACATAAAGGTAGCTTTTAGAGAAGTATTAAAATTCTTAGTTATGTAATTTTATCTGGACAAATACTTAATTTCCAGAAACTCAGTTAAAAGTGGCGAAGTACCAACTTATTCCTATAAATGAAAATATTAATTGATTACATCTACTTGATCAATGATTACGATTAATTGCCCTTATTAATTAAGGAAGGAAACACAAATCAAAACAGATTTCCATTATAATTAGATGAAATCCATTAATCACGAACCAAAAAGCATTTTCACAAATAAAATTAAATTGATGTCATAAAGATGGATTGTCTTCAAGCCGAATTAAGTTATTACACGATATTTCTTATTTCGTTTCATTGAATACTTCACTGCGATGGACGCCATATTTGGGCGGGTAATGGCGGTCGGTAAAAAAGCGGGAAAACATTTTAAGTAATAAAACCTTTTTTGGATATTTTATTTTGCAAATTTCTGTGCAGTTTTGTTAATAAGTAACTACATAGGGTTTTTTATTGCTATATTTATTTAACTTTATTTCGTTAACATTTATAATCATAGTCTACATTGTTTCAGTTTCATTTGCGAATTTGCTCTAATCTCTTGCTACTAATAAAGGTTCTATTACCTAATTTCAGTTCTAAATTTAAATGAAATCAGCCCATCTCGAGAGAATAGAGAGTCTAGCGGTCAATTAGCTTTAAGCAAATTTATAAGCAGGATATGTAACATAAGTGTATTAAAAGTCGATAGCTCTTTATTTTCCTTAATTAAAAACATTTTCATTCAATTATTACACGTAATCGTAACATTAAAGGGAATATGCATAAATTGCTTAAAATTTATGTTAAATATCGGATTACATTTAGGGAACGATTTCTGTCGTAAATCATTTTAAAAGGTTGAGAAAGAGTTGCAGTGGACCCATGCCAAAGATTTCGCATCGCATGATTTATAACCTCAAAAATACTAAACGTCAGATGAGCAATGCTTATTTAATTGTAAGATATTATCTGTGAAATATCGAGTATTCCGCCTGAGGTGTTGCCATGTTAAAATTCAATTTACATTTCGCGCGCTGTCACTGGCATTTTATTTTGATTATCTCCAAATCTTCGTGTGGATGGCTGATTCTTTTATTGAAATTGACAGATGTTTTTTTCTTTGTTTGTTTTATACATTAAAAAAATATAAGATTAATGTAATTAGCGTGTACATATGTCTAAAATTAAATACATTTTATTACGAAGGTTATTTTTTTACTATCCACTTACTGGTTTTGATTTTTCCATAGCAAAATTCTGTCCTCATCAACATTTTTAACATTTATTTTATATTTGTTCTCAGGAAATAACGCGGATCGTCAAGGTCGTCAGGTGGATCAGAAATCAAACCAATGGTTTGGTGCGACGCTGACCAGCACCGGCAGGAATGGCGCTATCATGGTGAGTAGGCTTTTTAGAATTTATTGACTTACCTACCGTACTGTACCACGAGGTACTTTACAATGAAAGATAGGAAAGGTATTGTTGTAAACTCTAAACAATACGTCTAATTTGTTTACCAGCATATACGTTAGGTATTTTAAAAGTAGAATTATATGTTCTGTGTGGTTGCAGATAGTAGTATTTCAATTTTAGTTACTTTGAGACTATTCTTTATTAATTTATTTATATATTATTTATTGTACACAACATTAAACATTTAAACACAAAGAGCAGGCTTACAATCACAGAGTGTACAATGGGCGGTCTTATCGAGCAGGGTGATTTCTTCCAGACAACATTTAATTTTTTTTTTAAATGAAGTCTCAAAAAACAATCTGATTCCAATAAAGTCATCCCATCTAGCTAGATTAATACAAAATATACCCTTTATTATTCTATCGACAACACCTCACTTCACCTACATAGATTAAGTTTCACAACAAACGAAATCTCAGTATTATTTTCTTTACGAGCTTGAGCGACTCCATGACCTCATACACCGTTGACCTATAAAGCTGATGGGATGTCTTGACAGGCGCACCCTTCCTGCCCTGCCCTGTCCTCAAGGTGTTCAGCCGTAATGATCGTTCTATCTTTTGTTATCGCATCTATAAGTCCACCTTTGTGACGTCACTGTCCGTCATTTGTTTTATAACTGCGCTCTTTGCGAAATTTGATTGGGTATGTTAAATTTTGTTTCAGATCTTCAACTGTCTTTATTTCTTTGTATATACATATTCGACATATTTCCTTAACTTGTACTAAAGAATCATCGTAGCCAGTACAGAAGCCAACTTGTCTTTCAGATATTGAACTGTCGTTATTTCTTTGAATATATTTGACATGTTTCTTTAACTTGTACTAAAGAATCCAAGCCATTACAGAAGCCAATTTGTCCCAAGTTTCCTAAGTCACATAGCAATGAGGGAAAAATTTATGAATACACTAACATGAGTTATACTAAGTTGGTTTAAAATAATATACAGTAGATCAACCGTATTACTCCTTGAGACATGCATAAGCTAGGAATCCCAATACTTCTAGAATGGTATCATTACAATATTTTATTATTAGGTGAAACTATGGCCAACTTTATACAAACATTTTAGGAGCTGTCCTCCTAAAATGTTTATTGCTGTTAAGACAATAGCCACGATGGAGGCTCCATTAATCTTGGCACCCCATTGTTGACATTTGGCAAGTGGGTCAGTCCAAGGCCTCATGGCTATAGGGTTGAACACCATTAGGTTATGGGGCCGTCTTTATGGTTTGTGGACGTAGTGCGGCTATCTGTGCCAAATTGGGTTTCAGGGTTATGTGGGACGGGTTTCTTTATCTCACTGTATTTCATTTGAGTTGTTTTTCTAAATTTGCAAATTGTCAATAAAGATTTGGTAATAATGTAGGTATTGAGCTAGGTAGGTTCTTACGTGTCTTTTTCTTTTTGTGCTTTCTGTTTGTTGTCGTTTGACGTCATAAGCCTGTAAGTGCCCACTGCTGAGCAAAGGCCTCTTCCAACACGAAAAAATTTGAGTATTAAAAGATTAGCAGTTGCTCAAGGCGGATTTCAAACTTTTAATTAGAAATTGTAAGTCCACTTTTGCCCACATCTTTTCCTTCACCTTATGTCAGTGGTGTCTAAACTAAATAATCATAGAAAATACATATAACTCGGCAAATAGTCACATCGGTACTTGCCAGGGTTTGAAACCTTATGTATAAGAAGCGAGCGCCATAATTTTTGGGCCACCACGACGGTGATGTTGTTTATTTATACATTTTATATTACGATAAAATTCAATGTCTGCAAGCTACGCCGCTTCGTCTCCTAAGTAGCTGTTCCTGACAAATTTTATGACTTTCCCGAAAAGCAGCAAGCGGTACCCCATACCACATTACTTAACATAAAATCACTCATTCAAATCGAAGTGCAGCGTCTCTTACGGTGCGGCCATATTAATTCAAATGGAGTGCAACCGTTTACCGCACACATGTTGCGAATAAATTTTATTACTCACGCACTTCGCACGAACACTGCGGCTCGGTTTCAGAACTTTTTTTTTTCCAATTCCATATTTGAAATCAGTCAGGAGACGCCTTCGTCGAAGACCTGAGACCACATAGTTTTTGTCTCCCTACTTAAGGGAGTTGGAATTTTTATTTCGGAATGCCGAATTAGTGCAAAAAGCCGACTCTCTCGACGAGCCAGCAATTTGTTTAGGCATTTTGTTCCATTTGCACTGGAGACAGAAACGCGGTGGGAATTTATAATTGTTCGAACTTATAGGCTGTATCTATAGGTGTCTGTGCCTTTATCAGTAGTGATGTGGTGCTTATATCTCATATTTTTATACCTATATATGGAATGAATTTTAATTAAATTTCGTGGTTCTAAATTCAAATGCACTTAATAATAAAATCAAATCGAATACGAAATTAATAACAGTATAATAATGATGTTGAAATATTAAAAAGTGAAACCAGTAAAAGATAATTTTATAAGATTATAATAATCGTTAGTTTAAATAAGTATTAACTGGCGGCCATATTAATTGCGGTTTTATGAAAAACATTTTAATGCTAAATTGTTTTTAATGTTACTATTTAACGGAAATTGCAGAAATTAAATTTACATTTCATTACGACTAATACCTTGAGTAGCAAGTTTAATCAAAGTGTACTTTTATATAAGTTATCATTAGCATAAACATATAATTATTATAACTGTTATTTACCGTGAGAGCAAATTGAGACATACTTTCACAATTTCTTCTTCAGCTTATCTGTACCTAATTAGAGGATTACAAACACCATATTGAAATTTTTGAAATCATACTAATCCCAAAATGAACTGAAAAAAATACAAGAAAAGAAAGCGAAATATACTAAAAATATACTATATTCTCCAAAATAATATTTATTTCCTTCCGTATTAAAAATACAAAGTAATAAATTTATTGATTTTATAAATTGTTGCGTCGTCACATCACTAAGTTCTTGCCCTTACTATTGTATTAAAAGTCGTTGAGTACTCACTTAGCAGTTGTTTGTCTAGATAATTGTTTTCTTATTTGTACCGATTGAATACTAAGTCGATTCGTTTTTATTCTCGATACGTTTTCTCACGATTAAACGAGCGCCACTTGATTTTTTAATAAGTTGCATTTAGCGACGAAAGAACGCTGTTATTTATTTTTGTTTTGCTTGCACATATACGAAGGTAAAGAAATGTCTCTCTTAAAAAAATCTTTTTATATAGGTATGTGTAGATAGAAGTATATTAGCAACTTTTTATTTTTAATCCCTACGATACAGGGTGAGTGTGATATGCAAACTAATATTATAAATGCGAAAGTAACTTTGTCTGTCTGTCTGTCTTTTCTTCACGTCTTAACTACTGAACTGATTTCTGTGAAATTTGGTACAGACATAGTTTGAGGACATAGGATAGATTTTTTTACCAAAAATCATTCCACGCTTACGGAGTCGCGGGCAAAAGCTAGTCTACTATACACAAGTTAAAATCAGATTCTGATTTGTTCTACTTCAAACAATTTAATGTTTGTTTTCCAGCCATATTCTTTTTAGTGTATGTCTAAGGAAACACGTATTATTATAGTTTATTGAGTAGTTGTAAATGTGAATTCCCAGCATGACGCTTACTTATGCGGAATTGAAGACGTCATGCTGATTATCCTGTAATCCAACAAGTTTTACTTATAGTGAAGGAAACTACATTTTTTTTATAAAATACTGCTTCTAATCCTCAACGAAATTCGTCAAAGCATACCTCAATAAAATATACTAAAATCCTATCAGATAAATTATACATAATGTACACAATAACTTGTTATAATTGCAAATAAATTTCCAAAGATAAATCTCGGGATATCGTAGTGCCGTCACACGGGCTCATGGAGCGACATGCGCGTGCGCAGTAAACAGTTAAACATAGATTAATTATTGCGACAGATATGAGCTGTATATCATTGCAAATTGATTGTATCTGCAACTCATTTGTTAGGGAGTTTCATTGGATAGGGTAAAGGTATAAATATTTCAATGATTATATCTTCCTGAAGGTTATGAAGAGGAGGTTGTATGCTTTTAAGTTCTTGTTTAGTCATGTCATAAAATAACGGAGATTATATGTATTAGTATGATTGATACTAAGGGACTTATTTGTTTTTTCTTTAAAGGCGGGTAATTATATCATTCAATGAGTGCTTCTGCTGGGTGGGGCAAGAGGGAACAGTGTCGGGCTCTTACTGACTAAAAACTACAACCTACCTTCTACTCCGGGCCGAGGTCGGTACACCCACAACCCCGGCTGATGTCTTTTATTATCTGACTTCTTTTCGTTGTAACTACGTTAATTTTTGTTATGAAGTTAGCGTCATTAATTGGTCTATCTGTACCTTATGATCAATTTGACAATGGTTATCTTATAGATGTTTACAAATCAAAACCATCGCATCTCTTTAAATTAATCTTTGGCTATTGTCTCCGTTTTAATCGCCACTAAAATTTATAGATGCGGCATATCACTGCTACTGGACTCTTGCCTACATCGCATTGTCTGAAGATTGCTTGCTCAAGAATATTTATCTTCTTGCTTATTGACGGATGAAAACAAATGCGAAAAAGACATTAATTTATTTATTCTTAATTTTTTATAGAAGTCTGTATTAGTGCTGGAGCACATCTTCACAACGTGTTTGGCATAAATGTTTCTAGTTAAAACTTGAGCAGAACTTATTTATTTATTATTCAACGACGGTGGTCTGGCTTTAACGAGTTTTAAAATAGAAATATTTTTTTATGACAATAGATATCTCGTGTTCAAACAGTTAGTAGTAGTAGAAATTATCTTAATGTTCTCAATTTTAAACCTATTTAGCAGTTTTCCAACACCCTCTACTTACTCAAAGTTTTTGAGCTAACAAATTGTCCGGTGA